GCCCTGGCACGGCCAGATGTGGCTGCGGAGCCTGCATCTGGAAATGCTGAGTTGTGCCAGACCTGGAAGCGATGGGGAAGCAAGGGAGGGGGATGGGGGACGGAGGCAAGCATGTTGGTGTGTGTGACAGGAAGGGGTGTGGGGTGCAGCTGTGGGACAAAACGTTTGGATGGTGGGGAGACTGAGGCACGGGCACGGCTGTAATAAGAGATGAGCAGGTAGAAGGCAAGAGGGTGCTTGCACTGCGGCATGAGGGAGGGAGAAGGGAGTCACCACGGCGACGGAGAGGACAGGAGAGAAGGCTGTCACCTCCTAAGGTTCACGGCCTCATTGCTGTGAAGGTATCAATGGGGTCTGAAATTAAGCACTTTTTAGAAGTGCCGCCTTCTTGTGCACTGTCATTTTAATTTCCTTGGACTTTGGTGAGCAAAAGGCTGCTCTCCCATCTGCCCTTCTGGCAAGAGAGGTGCACGACAGCGCTGTCTCAACGTCTTGGTAATTTCTGGCTAATAAAACTGCCCTTTGGGCCACAGTTAACAATTAGACCAACGCTGAGGATCAGGCCCTGCCCAGTACCAGGAAAAGAGTTATTTAAAGCTGGTTTTGCTGTCTGTTCTTCGGAGTGCTGAATCGAAACCACACATGGGCAAACATTTTTTATCTTCCCACGGCAGCTGACAGCCAACTGCAATTGCTCACACGGAGGCCCAGCTACGCTCTACCTGCCTGTTCCTGTACGTCATTCAGAGAAGTCAGTGTCTACACAAGCTCTGAACGCGTCTTTGGAGGCTGCCTGGCTCCAGTCATTCACGGAGCTAAGGATGGGGGTCAGCTCCAGGATCTGACTGCTGGGAACCTGGGTGGCCAGAGCTCTACTCACAAGCAATGAATGCTTAATGCCAAGTAATTTCTTTTACAGTGTCTTCCCCCCCCCCACCATCCCCCGTCCCCCGGTATGAAAAAGATGTATACATGCCAAAATGGGAGAAGTCTCATGTGTAGTCTGCAAACCAAAAAGGCATACTTGTCACTGTGCCTTCCACTGACCTGGCTTTTGGTCCTGTAAAAGCAAGTGGTGCAGGCACAGGTATCGTACAACAAAAATACAGAGGCTGGAAAGGTGGATGTAATGGAAGTGCTGACACAAGCTTAATTATAGCACTGCAGAAAGGATAGATTTATGAAAAATGTAACATGGGAACAGCATATTTCTATCATCTGTTAGCTACTTAGAGGTGGCTGCAGGACTGCGTCTATCTTCTTAACTGCAGCTCTTTTATTACCCTTAGCCCGGTCCTTGCTTCCATTTCCCTTCCCACCAGAGATGTTTTGCAAAAACATGGGCAGCTGCATGAAATCTGGAGCAAACCTGTGCCAGGAACTTTTACCTAAACCAGTGGGAGGCTGAAAGCAGCTATTCCCGGGTCTTGAAATGGGAAACCCGGGCTCATCGATCCTCTGCTGTCACACTGTGCACATCTTAGTTATCCTCCAGCCCCTTCCATTGCGAAACACAGAAGTGGCAACGTAGAAAAGGAGCCTTAGCTGAAAAGCTGCATGTAAATGAAAATTTAATTATTATGAAGCCACCTCAAAGAGCACGCCCGCGTCTCGCCTGCCCCCATTTTGCCAGCACCCCAGCCTGAGAAAGCTGGCAGAATGCAGAGGACTGGTGCTGGAGAACGTGGCAGTTTTGCGGAATATGGCGCAGGGCCTTGCCGAGCGCAGAGCAGCACGCGCTCCCCACGCGACGCCGCGCGCACCCCACGCGACACCCACATTTCCCGCCATCCCTTCTTCCTCACCAACAACCGCACAGCAAAGCGCGTTTGCCTCCAGCAGCTGAAAAACTGTCCCTGCTCCTCCTCGCCTCTGAAATACAGCGGGGGACACAAGGAAAGGGTTCGGGGGGTGGATTCACCATTTAGAAAGGTGCTGTCTAGAGAGACGCCGTGATTTTCGTTGAAGGAAAAAAAGAAACAACCCCAAACCCCTAAGTTTAAGGCTCCTGCACTATGGGGCTTTAACCACCCATTTTACTCATTTTTTCGAAGGAGGGCAAACTGCTCCCGCTCGGGCTCCCCCTCCTCCTCACTCAGCCTGCCTCGGGGAAGCGCCCCGACGCCGCGCCGGCCACGGACG